GTTTAGAGGAGTGTTGCTAAATATAATCCATTACTCCTCAAATCTCAGGCTCAGGAGGAGAAGCGGCTCCAGACAGAGCTCAGTGGGATCAGGAGGGTCACTGCTGAAACACGGTGTGGATCTGTGTGATTGAAGGCTGTAAAAACACCAGCACACACCAGAGAGACCAGAGAGGGAGAGACCAGAGAGGGAGAGACCAGAGAGGGAGAGACCAGAGAGGGAGAGACCAGAGAGGGAGAGACCAGAGAGGGAGAGACCAGAGAGGGAGAGACCAGAGAGGGAGAGACCAGAGAGGGAGAGACCAGAGAGGGAGAGACCAGAGAGGGAGAGACCAGAGACACCAGGGAAAGGCCAGAGAGAGATACTAGATAAAGAGAGTAGAGAAAGACCAGAGAGACACCAGGGAAAGGCCAGAGAGAGAGAGCAGAGAACAGAAAGAGAGATCAGAGAGACAAAACACAAAATGCATCAACGTAAAATAAACATGGAGGGTTAAAGCTCATAGACGTCCAAACTTAAAATGTTTCAAGGGCTTTAGTAAAGACCTGTCCGCTCTCCACTCACTCACCAGGATTTACAGACATCTCCGGCCGAGCCCTGGGACCCGGGAAAACCGTGGGCGTTCTCGGAAAACCTCCAGCGCTGATGAAACGCCTCAGACAGATCCATTCTCTGCCAACCTTCACCCGTGGATCACTTCTGGAGAATATGGAGACGGTAAATACACGGACGGCCTGAGGTCTGAGAGAAGGCACCAGCAGAGTGTTTGATGGTGGTCGAAAAAACCACCATGGGGGAAAGTGAGTGTCATGGCAACAAGAAACCAGTGAGATATTGTTTGTTTCTGTTAATGATGAATGTGATTCGAAAATCTGTGGGTTTTTAAGACCTTGATAAAAACACAGAAGAACAGTGTTTTTTTAACTCCCTCTAACTGGATTTCTCTCTCTCTGACCATGGTCTGGTCTCTCTCTCTGACCATGGTCTGGTCTCTCTCTCTCTGACCATGGTCTGGTCTCTCTCTCTCTGACCATGGTCTGGTCTCTCTCTCTCTGACCATGGTCTGGTCTCTCTCTCTCTCTGACCATGGTCTGGTCTCTCTCTCTCTGACCATGGTCTGGTCTCTCTCTCTTTGACCATGGTCTGGTCTCTCTCTTTGACCATGGTCTGGTCTCTCTCTGACCATGGTCTGGTCTCTCTCTCTGACCATGGTCTGGTCTCTCTCTCTCTGACCATGGTCTGGTCTCTCTCTCTGACCATGGTCTGGTCTCTCTCTCTGACCATGGTCTGGTCTCTCTCTCTGACCATGGTCTGGTCTCTCTCTCTGACCATGGTCTGGTCTCTCTCTCTCTGACCATGGTCTGGTCTCTCTCTCTCTGACCATGGTCTGGTCTCTCTCTCTGACCATGGTCTGGTCTCTCTCTCTGACCATGGTCTGGTCTCTCTCTCTGACCATGGTCTGGTCTCTCTCTCTCTGACCATGGTCTGGTCTCGCTCTCAAGTCTCTGGTTGGTTCCTTTTCGGCTTCTCTCTGGTCTCTCCCTCTTTCTGGCTTCTTCTCTGACAATGTTCAAATCCAGGTTAAACACACCGGACACTCACTTTTTTTTTTATCACATACTTACACTGAAACTAGTATAATTTTCTTTTTGTCAGTCAGCAATATTGACACATTAAGTGGCATTAGAAAGATCAGATCTGACAATTGAAAAACTGATCATCATAAAATTTTAAAAACTGTACTGCTTAATTACACGTACACAGTATTTTGGTTCCATAGTCTGGTAGTAAATGTTTAGACCGAACTGCAGTAGAAAGCATAAAATATGACAGAAGCAAAGTTTGCATTTTTTACAACTTTCAACAAAAATGACTTGTACTAACAGGAATGTTTCCAATAAAGTTTAGTAAACTATGGGTCCGTGTACTTAAAGGTCATTGGATTTCCTTTTCATAAGCAAAAATAGAATTCTCTTTTTTTTTCTTTGAAATTCCAAAACAAATGTTGAATTAGAGACACAAGAAGACACAATTAACTTTTTACATTTAGAAGTTATCTCAGAGGACTTTACGAAGCTGTCGATTCGCCAACACAGATCAGAAAATCAAAGAGTTCAAACCATAGACTGTAAATATTAACGGCCGTAGTGAGGCCTGTCTCTGCTGCTCTGACTAATGTGTTACAACTTTTGTGGTCTATGGGCAGTTTCAAAATGGCCGCGGGGGCTGGAAAAAACACATCTGCACATGCGTCAGCTGCACGAGCGCCATTCATTTCAACGAGTGACTTCTAAAGTCCACAGCGACTAAACTAGACTGGTCCAGAACACTCAGCATTGACACACGTGGAACGGAGCTTTGGGCCAGGAGACAACTTTTGGACCATCCTGTAAAGACGTTTTAGAGAGGTCTGCTAATGCTATATGTTAGCATTGGATAATTCTTATTCTGGGTCCACCCCCACAGGCCCGGGGTGGTATTGCAGCATGTCAGCGCACATCATTTTGGCCACTTTTGGGTCGGGACCCGCCCCCACTGGTTCAAACACAAGAAATCATTTTTTTTAAACAAAATATAGGAACTCTGAGGAGCACAGGGACTGGCCTCCTGCTGGGACTCTGAGGAGCACAGGGACTGGACTCCTGCTGGGACTCTGAGGAGCACAGGGACTGGACTCCTGCTGGGACTCTGAGGAGCACAGGGACTGGCCTCCTGCTGGGACTCTGAGGAGCACAGGGACTGGCCCCCTGCTGGGACGCTGAGGAGCACAGGGACTGGCCTCCTGCTGGGACTCTGAGGAGCACAGGGACTGGCCTCCTGCTGGGACTCTGAGGAGCACAGGGACTGACCTCCTGCTGGGACGCTGAGGAGCACAGGGACTGGCCTCCTGCTGGGACTCTGAGGAGCACAGGGACTGGCCTCCTGCTGAGACTCTGAGGAGCACAGGGACTGACCTCCTGCTGGGACGCTGAGGAGCACAGGGACTGGCCTCCTGCTGGGACTCTGAGGAGCACAGGGACTGGCCTCCTGCTGGGACTCTGAGGAGCACAGGGACTGGCCTCCTGCTGGGACTCTGAGGAGCACAGGGACTGGCCTCCTGCTGGGACTCTGAGGAGCACAGGGACTGGCCTCCTGCTGGGACTCTGAGGAGCACAGGGACTGGCCTCCTGCTGGGACTCTGAGGAGCACAGGGACTGGCCCCCTGCTGGTCCCAGAGTCAGGACTAAACATGGGGAGGAAGGATTTCAGATTTATAACGCTATAACTGTCCTTGTGTTTGAACTGTGCCATACAGATAAACTTGCCTCCATCATCAGCAGAACTCTGGGGATGGAGCGTCTTGACCTTGGACTCTCCGAGCGTCGTGACCTTTAGCATAGCGTTATTTAACGGACACTTAAACGGTCTGAGGTGTTAATTATTTGCCGCTCGTTATTTTGCATCGACGCTTCACGAGCTCCAGAATAAATCTTTGATGCGGCGTCGTTTGAACACTTTCAGACAAACTCTTACGAGGTTTGGAATTGGACACGGTCTGGTTTATTAACGACATTTTTTTATAGATGTTTTGGACTGATATTGGGAACAGGAGAAAGAGTGAATGAACCACACTACACTATAGACCTCGCCTGGTCTTACCGCACCACTGTACTCATTTCATTTGTACTAAGGTCTGGTCCGTTAACAGGTGGGAGGGGCTAACTCCTTTTGCAGACTGAAACCATTGGATCTGAGTTTACTGTGACGTATGTATGGACCATGGACCAAAGTTTACACATGGTAAGACCAGACGTACATTCCGGGGCGATAAAGACAGAGCTACTCTTTTAAGCTAACCCCGGGAAAGATGTGGTGTTATTGTTTTGACGGAGCCTGATGTCGGGAACAGTCACATTTGGTTCTGTGACAAAGTGCATTTACGATAATGAACAATGATAATGAAAGACAGAATTTAGCTCAGATTCATTTCAGTCAATGGTGCCCCTTTATTTCACTCTGGAGAACACAAGACACAACACTTGTATTGAATTATTTTGTTTGTTTAATCATGTTTTGTCCAATAAGTGGGAGGGGCTGGCTGTGGTCAGAGGAGGGAGGGGAGAAAGAGAGAGACTGTACAGAGAGAGACCAGAGAGAGAGAGAGAGAGAGAGACCAGAGAAAGAGACCAGAGAGAGAGAGACCAGAGAAAGAGACCAGAGAAAGAGACCAGAGAGAGACTATACAGAGAGAGAGACCAGAAAGAGAGACCAGAGAGAGACCAGAGAGAGAGACCAGAGAGAGACTATACAGAGAGAGAGCAGAGAGAGACCAGAGAGAGACCAGAGAGAGACTATACAGAGAGAGACCAGAGAGAGACCAGAGAGAGACCAGAGAGAGACCAGAGAGAGACTATACAGAGAGAGACCAGAGAGAGACCAGAGAGAGACCAGCCACAGCCTCTAAAAGTCTGACTTCCATTTAGCGCCTCTTCCATCAAACCCTGAGGCTGCTAATCCTGAATAATAATAATTTGTTTTTGTCGTTAAGTGGAAATATGTTAATTATAGAATAATGGGAGACGAGGGGAAAGGACGGAGAGGCGTCGTAAGTGTAGTCTGTGGAAATGTGTGTTTTTATATAGAAATGTTTTATTCATGAGAGAATTCTCTGAGGGAAGAGTCGGCACATACGCTAATATATATACTGTATATATACATATATATATATATATACAGTATATACATATCTATATAGACTGAGAGAGAGACCAGAAAGAGACCAGGGCAGTCCACTGAACGACCACTACAGTATCACTGCAGTGCACAAGCCACTAAAGTTTTCTTCTAATGATAAAAGTAACTGTGACATCACAGTGTGACGTCACACTGTGATGTCACACAGCGGTTATATGATGTCAGAGGAAATACACTGTAGAAACATTCTGTGAAAAGCAATATTAAAAACACCTTCAATCAAAGAGACATTAGGTTTTCCTGGTCCCTCAGAAGCACACATCCACATGGTACGCAGCCTACAGCACATCCACATGGTGCGCAGCCTAGAGTACATCCACATGGTAGGCAGCCTAGAGCACATCCACATGGTGCGCAGCCTAGAGCACATCCACATGGTCCGCAGCCTCAAGAACACCCACATGGTCCGCAGCCTCAAGCACATCCACATGGTCCGCAACCTAAAGCACATCCACATGGTCCGCAGCCTAAAGCTCATCCACATGGTCCGCAGCCTCAAGCACATCCACATGGTCCGCAGCCTCAAGCACATCCACATGGTCCGCAGCCTCAAGCACATCCACATGGTCCGCAGCCTCAAGCACATCCACATGGTCCGCAGCCTCAAGCACATCCACATGGTCCGCAGCCTAGAGCACATCACATGGTCCGCAGCTTAGAGCACATCCACATGGTCCGCAGCCTCAAGCACACCCACATGGTCCGCAGCCTCAAGCACACCCACATGGTCCGCAGCCTCAAGCACATCCACATGGTCCGCAACCTAAAGCACATCCACATGGTCCGCAGCCTAAAGCTCATCCACATGGTCCGCAGCCTCAAGCACATCCACATGGTCCGCAGCCTCAAGCACATCCACATGGTCCGCAGCCTCAAGCACATCCACATGGTCCGCAGCCTCAAGCACATCCACATGGTCCGCAGCCTAGAGCACATCACATGGTCCGCAGCTTAGAGCACATCCACATGGTCCGCAGCCTAGAGCACATCCACATGGTCCGCAGCCTAAAGCAAATCCACATGGTCCGCAGCCTAAAGCACATCCACATGGTCCGCAGCCTCAAGCACATCCACATGGTGCGCAGCCTAGAGCACATCACATGGTCCGCACCTTAGAGCACATCACATGGTCCGCAGCCTAGAGCACATCCACATGGTCCGCAGCCTAGAGCACATCCACATGGTCCGCAGCCTAAAGCACATCCACATGGTCCGCAGCCTCAAGCACATCCACATGGTTTGAAGCCTCAAGCACATCCACATGGTCCGCAGCTTAGAGCACATCCACGTGGTCCGCAGCCTAAAGCACATCCACATGGTCCGCAGCCTCAAGCACATCCACATGGTCCGCAGCCTCAAGCACATCCACATGGTCCCTACTCAGCATCCACATCACATGGTCCGCAGCTTAGAGCACATCCACATGGTCCGCAGCCTAAGCACATCCACATGGTCCGCAGCCTAAGCACATCCACATGGTCCGCAGCCTAAAGCACATCCACATGGTCCGCAGCCTAAAGCACATCCACATGGTCCGCAGCCTAAGCACATCCACATGGTCCGCAGCCTAAGCACATCACATGTCCGCAGCTAGTCCGCAGCCTAGGCACATCCACATGGTGCGCAGCCTAGAGCACATCACATGGTCCGCAGCTTAGAGCACATCCACATGGTCCGCAGCCTAGAGCACATCCACATGGTCCGCAGCCTAGAGCACATCCACATGGTCCGCAGCCTAAAGCACATCCACATGGTCCGCAGCCTCAAGCACATCCACATGGTTTGCAGCCTCAAGCACATCCACATGGTCCGCAGCTTAGAGCACATCCACGTGGTCCGCAGCCTAAAGCACATCCACATGGTCCGCAGCCAGCACATCCACATGGTCCGCAGCCTAAACACATGGTCCGCAGCCTAAAGCACATCCACATGGTCCGCAGCCTAAACACATGGTCCGCAGCCTAAAGCACATCCACATGGTCCGCAGCCTAAACACATGGTCCGCAGCCTAAAGCACATCCACATGGTCCGCAGCCTAAACACATGGTCCGCAGCCTAAAGCACATCCACATGGTCCGCAGCCTATAATCCAGCCGCAGATACAGAGACATGGACAGTAAAGTGGCGGCCACAGAAGTGCAGCTCTGACAGAAATACGAGGTAAAAGGACCAGGACCATAAATCACAGGCTGCACCAGGGACAGATGCATCACCAGAGGACCAGGAGGACCAGGAGCACCAGGAGGACCAGGAGGACCAGGGGCTTTGGAGCGACTAGAACCACTGAGACACAGGGACTGGGACACAGGGACTGGGACACAGGGACTGGGACACAGGGACTGAGACACAGGGACTGGGACACAGGGACTGGGACACAGGGACTGAGACACAGGGACTGGGACACAGGGACTGAGACACAGGGACTGAGACACAGGGACTGGGACACAGGGACTGGGACACAGGGACTGAGACACAGGGACTGGGACACAGGGACTGAGACACAGGGACTGAGACACAGGGACTGAGACACAGGGACTGGGACACAGGGACTGAGACACAGGGACTGAGACACAGGGACTGGGACACAGGGACTGAGACACAGAGACTGAGACACAGGGACTGGGACACAGGGACTGGGACACAGGGACTGGGACACAGGGACTGAGACACAGGGACTGGGACACAGGGACTGGGACACAGGGACTGAGACACAGGGACTGGGACACAGGGACTGGGACACAGGGACTGAGACACAGGGACTGGGACACAGGGACTGGGACACAGGGACTGAGACACAGGGACTGGGACACAGGGACTGGGACACAGTGACTGGGACACAGGGACTGGGACACAGGGTGAGGCTGAGGGCGAAGGTCACAGAGACACGTGGGAAGGTACAAGCCCCGCTGATCCAAGATGGCGTCCTGTTCAAATGAACGACTTGTGCTCAGTAGTTCATGGGACTTCACAGAGAACGGGAGATTACCTGAACTCGCCCATATTTGGGCATCGCCTGGTCCTCCCGGTTCTGCGCAGTGGACGAGCTCCCATGATGCTTTGCGCCCAATACGTATGTGTGGCTCTCATGCACGTGCACAGAGGGGCTCGGCCGCACTCTGACCAATCAGAGCTGATCAGAGCAGAGTCAGAGCGGGAAGGAAAGAGCAGAGTTTGTGGCAGTAAAGTGTGGATTTAAAGAAAACAGAAGGATTTAAGAAGAAAAAAAGTTCAGGACGACAAGGGACACTAACATCCACACAAAATCTGATCTTTTTGAAAGCTGTAGGTTCTCTGTCAGCTAAGGTTGAGCTGTTTTTGCGGTACCACAGCGCCACCTGTGGCCATGGGTGGGACAGCTGTAAGCTAGTAATACCCTATCCAGGTATTATTATAGATCCATGGGAAGGAAAGGAGAGGTTCACCACAAGACAGAGCCCAGAGAGAAAAGAGAGAGCCCAGAGAGAAAAGAGAGAGCCCAGAGAGAAAAGAGAGAGCCCAGAGAGAAAAAAGAGAGACCAGAGAGAAAAGAGAGAGCCCAGAGAGAAAAGAAAGGGCCCAGAGAGAAAAGAGAGAGACCAGAGAGAAAAGAGAGAGACCAGAGAGAAAAGAGAGAGACCAGAGAGAAAAGAGAGCCCAGAGAGAAAAGAAAGGGCCCAGAGAGAAAAGAGAGAGACCAGAGAGAAAAGAGAGCCCAGAGAGGAAAGAGAGAGCCCAGAGAGAAAAGAGAGAGCCCAGAGAGAAAAGAGAGAGACCAGAGAGAAAAGAGAGCCCAGAGAGAAAAGAGAGAGCCCAGAGAAAAAAGAGAGACCAGAGAGGAAAGAGAGAGCCCAGAGAGAAAAGAGAGAAACCAGTTATTCTGTAGTTTTACTGCAAATGGCCAATAATCCGAATCTTTCCCAGTTTCTTCTTCATGTGTTTTTGTGGGAGATCTTCATTAGTTCATGTCATTTTGATTTTATTCTACATGAATTAATGCTTTGACTTTTCTCCTGAGCGCTAAGATGGTCAGTGCGTGGTCGGCTCCCATCACCTCATGACTCACTCCCTCCTCCAGACCACAGCTCTGCCTCCTCTGCTCCATCTGACTTCTGAGTTTTTAAAATACTAAACTTAAAGATTCTTTATTCGTCCAACAAAAGCTGATGTTTCACTCACGTATTTACTGGGTGTTTTTATCTACTGTTTTAACACCAAAATAGGACAAATCAAGACAAATTTCTGAACATAAATAATAAGTATATTTGTTTCCAGGCGAATCCAATAATGCAAAGAAAAAGGACTAAACAGCACTTAAAAGATAATATTTTAGAATCTCCTGAATTTAAAATGAGCCACGAGTGTAAACCAACTTTTAAAGCCTGGTCTCTCTCTGGTCTCTCTCTCTGGTCTCTCTCTCTGGTCTCTCTCTGGTCTCTCTCTCTGGTCTCTCTCTCTGGTCTCTCTCTCTGGTCTCTCTCTCTGGTCTCTCTCTCTCTGGTCTCTCTCTCTCTGGTCTCTCTCTCTGGTCTCTCTCTCTGGTCTCTCTCTATGGTCTCTCTCTATGGTCTCTCTCTATGGTCTCTATGGTCTCTCTCTATGGTCTCTCTCTCTGGTCTCTCTCTCTGGTCTCTCTCTCTGGTCTCTCTCTCTGGTCTCTCTCTATGGTCTCTCTCTCTATGGTCTCTCTCTCTGGTCTCTCTCTATGGTCTCTCTCTATGGTCTCTCTCTATGGTCTCTCTCTATGGTCTCTCTCTCTGGTCTCTCTCTCTGGTCTCTCTCTCTGGTCTCTCTCTCTGGTCTCTCTCTCTGGTCTCTCTCTCTGGTCTCTCTCTCTGGTCTCTCTCTATGGTCTCTCTCTATGGTCTCTCTCTCTGGTCTCTCTCTCTGGTCTCTCTCTATGGTCTCTCTCTCTGGTCTCTCCCCCTGGTCTCCCCCTGGTCTCTCCCTGTTCCATGATGAATACGTCTTCTTTAATTCCCAGTTAAAGAACACTTTATCAGACTTTTCACAGAGGAAATGTCAGACGTCGCTGGAGAAACACGGAGAGGGCTCATTACGTTCACTTCTCTGCTCCTGACGCTCCCTCGAACCAGAGGTGCTTCTGGTCAAAGTCCGCTGCCCGCTGCAGACAGACGCTCTCCCACACAGGTCGCTGATTTCCCAGAAGACACTGGGGCTGGCCGCTTCGATATTTAATAAAATATATAAATCTGTGGTGGTAAATGTGAGAGGGAGAGCAGTGGCACAGGTCAGACAGCAGAGGGCGCCGCTCAAGACAAGATTTGGCATTTCAAGTTATGGTGTGTTGCTAGCGTAGCCTCGAGGTGAATGGAGCTACTGTACTTCAAACAGAGACTAGCATCATAGACTAGACCCGCTGCTCCCTCCCAGCCGTTAACCTCAAACTCTGGTCTCTCTCTCTGGTCTCTCTCTGGTCTCTCTCTGGTCTCTCTCTGGTCTCTCTCTGGTCTCTCTCTGGTCTCTCTCTGGTCTCTCTCTCTGGTCTCTCTCTGGTCTCTCTCTCTGGTCTCTCTCTCTGGTCTCTCTCTCTGGTCTCTCTCTCTGGTCTCTCTGGTCTCTCTCTCTGGTCTCTCTCTCTGGTCTCTCTCTCTGGTCTCTCTCTGGTCTCTTTCTAGGCTCTCTCTGGCCTCGCTGTGGTCTCTCTCTAGTTTCTCTCCGGTCTCTCTCTCTAGTCTCTCCCTCTGGACTCTTTCTGGTCTCTTTGGTTTCTCTCTGATCTCCCTCTAGTTCTCTTACTCTCTTACTCTCGCTCTCTCTCTCTTTCAAGCACCAAGGAGACATAACATCAGAAATGCTCTTTTTGAGTTTTGTTACATTGCTCCTGGTTTCGAACCAGCTTTAGAGGCTTGTACACCTCCCCTTTAACCACAGCATCTCCCCAGAGGAGACCAGAGAGAGACTATAGAGAGAGACCCGAGGGACTAGAGAGAGACTATAGAGAGAGACCCGAGGGACTAGAGAGAGACTAGAAAGAGACCAGAGAGAGACCAGAGAGAGACCAGAGAGAGACTATAGAGAGACCAGAGAGAGACCAGAGAGAGACCAGAGAGAGACTATAGAGAGACCAGAGAGAGACCAGAGAGAGAGACCAGAGAGAGACCAGAGAGAGACTATACTGTACCTTGTACAGTTTGTGTATCTTGTATGCTCTGTCCTGTAGTTGTCTTTTCTTTGATATTGTTTTGTGAGTTTGATGTTGAATGTGAAGTTTCACGGTGGCTCTGTCTCTCAGCAAGAAGGTCCTGGGTTCGAATCCCGGTCGGACCAGGGCCTTTCTGAGTGGAGTTTGCATGTTCTCCCCGTGTCTGCGTAGGTTTCCTCCGGGTACTCCGGTTTCCCCTACCACTAAAAATATGTACAATAGTTCTGACATGCGCCTCCTGTACTGGCCCCGCTCCCATCTCTGTGTGGAGTGGGAGACAAATGCCCAAAAAATAACAATTGTAAACTGCTTTGAGACTCTGGTCTGTGAAAGGCGCTATATAAATAAAGATTACTTACTCACTTACTTACTTCAACCTGTCTAGGGACAACAGATGGAAATTAGCCTATGGCTAAAATCTGACATATTTACATATTTCTATATGTTCATTAATATGTACTGTCCCTGCTTAAATAAATAAATAAATAAAAAATATAGAGAGAGACCTGAGGGACTAGAGAGAGACCAGAGAAAGACCAGAGAGAGAGACCAGAGAGAGACCAGAGAGAGACCAGAGAGAGACTAGAGAGAGACTAGAGAGAGACTAGAGAGAGACTAGAGAGAGACTAGAGAGAGACTAGAGAGAGACTAGAGAGAGACTAGAGAGAGACTAGAGAGAGACTAGAGAGAGACTAGAGAGAGACTAGAGAGAGACTAGAGAGAGACTAGAGAGAGACTAGAGAGAGACCAGAGAGAGACCAGAGAGAGAGACCAGAGAAAGACCAGAGAGAGAGACCAGAGAAAGACCAGAGAGAGAGACCAGAGAGAGAGCAGAGAGAGACCAGAGAGAGAGACCAGAGAGAGAGACCAGAGAGAGACCAGAGAGAGACCAAGGAAAGTCCAGATTTTTGTATTGACGACATTAGTTCCTTTTCTTTGAAACCAGTAAAATGAAAATCAACGCAGCACTAAAAACTCATTCGGAGCAGATCTCGTCCTCTTTTTGCCGTCTGCGTCTCTGCACCGAGTCTAATTTATTTCTGACCAACTTTGAATAATCCACAAACTCAGAGAGGCCAGAGCTGTTGGCGCTAATTGGGCCGAGACTTTCTAGACCTGGGACTTTCTGAATCATTGACAGATCAAAATGAGCAGAACAAACATCCTCCGACAGCGCCACAAACATTGTTCAAATGTAAAGGACTTTATACATTTTTCAACCTTTTTGTTTACCCCGGTCTCTCCTGAGTGAATGAGCTAATGCTAATGTGCCATTTACCGCAGGCACAAACAGGAAGTGTGTCCGCAACGGTGAGAAAGGCTGAAAATAATCTTTATGACTTTATAAACAGCACATTTACAAAAGAGTTGAACCTTTGTTGGAGGAAAAAAATAAAACTAAATCCAGAAAAGAGAAAGACCAGAAAGAGACCATAAAAAGACTAGAGAGAGACCAGAGAGACCAGAGGGAGAGACCAGAGAGACCAGAGAGAGACCAGAGAGAGACCAGAGAGAGACCAGAGAGAGACCAGAGAGAGACCAGAGAGAGACCAGAGAGAGACCAGAGAGACCCGAGAGAGACCCGAGAGAGACCAGAGAGAGACCAGAGAGAGACCAGAGAGAGACCAGAGAGAGACCAGAGAGAGACCAGAGAGAGACCAGAGAGAGACCAGAGAGAGACCAGAGAGAGACCAGAGAGAGACCAGAGAGAGACCAGAGAGACCATTCCAGGACATTACTGGAACAAAAGCTTGAGGCTTCAAACATTTCCCTGAAACATAAAAACAGTTTGACTCGGAGCTGTTTGATTCCACTGTGGCTCACAGAGAAGTGACAGTTAAACACCACAGATAACACTGTTACATCATGAAAGGCAAGGTTATCTGTATAGCACACTTCATACAGACACTCACAGGGCTGAACAACAGAGCATCAACATCATCAATGATCACAGGGACTAGAGACAGACTACAGACTAGAGCAAGACTACAGACTAGAGCCAGACTACAGACTAGAGCCAGACTACAGACTAGAGACAGACTAGAGCGAGACTACAGACTAGAGACAGACTAGAGAGACTAGAGACAGACTACAGACTAGAGCCAGACTACAGACTAGAGCCAGACTACAGACTAGAGCCAGACTACAGATTAGAGACAGACTAGAGCCAGACTACAGACTAGAGCCAGACTACAGACTAGAGCCAGACTACAGACTAGAGCCAGACTACAGACTAGAGCCAGACTACAGACTAGAGACAGACTACAGACTAGAGACAGACTACAGACTAGAGCGAGACTACAGACTAGAGCGAGACTAGACTAGAGCGAGACTACAGACTAGAGACAGACTACAGACTAGAGACTAGAGCGAGACTACAGACTAGAGCCAGACTACAGACTAGAGACAGACTACTAGAGACAGACTACAGACTAGAGACAGACTACAGACTAGAGCCAGACTACAGACTAGAGACAGACTACAGACTAGAGCCAGACTACAGACTAGAGACAGACTAGAGCCAGACTACAGACTAGAGACAGACTACAGACTAGAGACAGACTACTAGAGACAGACTACAGACTAGAGACAGACTACAGACTAGAGCCAGACTACAGACTAGAGACAGACTACAGACTAGAGCCAGACTACAGACTAGAGACAGACTAGAGCCAGACTACAGACTAGAGACAGACTACAGACTAGAGCGAGACTACAGACTAGAGCCAGACTACAGACTAGAGACAGACTACTAGAGACAGACTACAGACTAGAGCCAGACTACAGACTAGAGACAGACTACAGACTAGAGACAGACTACAGACTAGAGCCAGACTACAGACAGACTACAGACTAGAGACAGACTACAGACTAGAGACAGACTACAGACTAGAGACAGACTAGAGCCAGACTACAGACTAGAGCGAGACTACAGACTA